GACAGCTTGAGGCTCTGTCTCAAAAAAAAAAAAAAAAAAAAAGAAAAAGGCATTCCTACACATAAGTAACCCATATTAAATATATTTTTCAGAAGTCCATGCATAATTGGTAACAACTTTGTTTCAAAGTAAAGCAAGGTTTTGCATTTCTCTCTAGGTTGTCCCAACTCTCCTTTCTCACAATAGTAGAGAAAGGGTAACCCAGTTACTATTGTACCATATATAATGCACAATACAATAGGAGCTGTGAGTGATCTCTCCTCTAGTCAAGAAAGCCCAACCACACTATTTCTTACTATCTGCTAAGGGCATAATATTCAGAGTAATGTTAAGGGGCTGGACATGATGGCTCACGCCTGTAATCCCAGCACTCTGGGAGGCCAAGGCAGGTGGATTGCTTGAGCTCAGGAGTTCAAGACCAGCCTGAGCAAGAGTGAGAGCCCTGTCTCTTCTAAAAAAAAATAGAAAAACTAGCTGGGCATCATAGCAAGTGCCTGTAGTCCCAGGTACTCAGGATGCTGAAGCAGGAGGATCACTTGAGCCCAAGAGTTTAAGGTTACTGTGAGCTACAATGATGCCATGGCACTCTACCTAGGACGATAAAGTGAGATTCTATATAAAACGGGGGGGAAAAAAAGAAAGAAAGAAAAAAAGAAATAGAGTTAAAGAAGTCAGACTTACACATATGCACATAAGAGACTATGATAAGCTGTTAGAGGTGGGTAATCCAGTCCCCAGTACAGTAAATTGTTATCACTGCTGTTAAAATACCTGAAAAATAGAAAAAAGCACCATTCTTTCAACTAATATTCAAGAAGCAGACTTCTAATTGAATTTCTCATCTTATTTATTTAATAACAACTAAGCTATGGCAACAAACACAAACAGGACTGTCCCAGGCAAACTGAAATTTACTGTCATTCTATTATTAGCAAATTTAACCAATGACTAATACTCATACAATAAAAGATATACAACAACAACAAAAAAATATTGTACCTATGCTGAGCACAGTGCCTCACGCCTGTAAGCCCAGCACTTGGGAGGCAGAGATAGGTGGATTGCCTGAGCTCACAGATTTGAGACCATCCTGAGCAAGAGCGAGACACCCTCTCTTAAAAACAGCTGGGTGTTGTGGTGGGCACCTGTAGTCCTAGCTACTCAGGAGGCTGAGGCAAGAGAACCACTTAGAAGCCCACAAGTTAGAAGTTGCTGTGAGCTATGATGCCACAGCACTCTACCCAAGGCAACAAAGTGAGACTCTATCTTAAAAAAAGAAAATAAATAAAAATCATGTTGACATAAACATTTTCTTTATCATACCCTGTAGAACTGACAGCTTCTTCCATGCAATTTATTTTCTTAGTCATAAGAATACTTTATAATATTACAGTCCAAACTGCATAACCCACAAGTAGCCACTGTTGATAAACCTGTTTCACCGAGTCATAATCTCTTACTTTGGCAGGTAAAAGAAACTTTTTAAAGTTAGCATTCAACATGATCCCATTAAACCTATTATTCATCTTTGGAAGGTCTGTTCTTTGTAGTGTCAGTTATATAAAGTACAGATCTGTATGCAAGGGATGGAAATTAACAAAATGATCAAGCCAGGCTGGTCAGCCAAGAGGTCTGGGCAGAGGGCAGTGCAGTGTGGAGCCAGCTGTGCTGTTGTCCCTACAATAGGAACACCCACGTGAACAGTGCAGGGCTCTGTGTCTGGCTGGGACTTGAAGTGAAGAAGCGGCATGTCCAAGAACCTCTATGTCACTTGTAGCCCCTTTTGACAGCTTGAGTCTGGGAAACTGGACAAAATAAACAGCAGAGCCAAAAGGTCCACTTCTCTAGAGAGAGGAGCCTGAAGACAGGTACGAACTATGCTGATCCCAAATTTATGTCACTACAGGGCACATTAGCATAAAGCTTTATTGTCCTCGCCTCATGAAGTTCTGGAATCGTTGAGTTCAACAAGTAAAGCTGTTAAATCAGAGCCTGACACAAAGTAAGTGCTCAAGAGAAGTTCCGAATGGCCTCTAGTCACAGAATTATTGGAATGGACACAGCAATAAAAAACCATCAAGTAATTTAAGAATCACATTTCCACCAATACAACTTGATTTGGTTTTCAGCTTCTTACAAGACAAAATCTACTTTTCATTTGCTTTAACCTTGGGATCTACTGGAGCTAAATACCTGAGGCACTGACAGGGAGCTGTGGATGCAAGGATACACACTAACAATAAAGATATGCACTAACAACAAAGATACACACTAACAACAAAGATACAGAGTAACAACAAAGATACACAGTAACAATAAAGAAATACAGTAACAATAAAGATACACAGTAACAATAAAGATACACAGTAACAATAAAGATACACAGTAACAATAAAGAAATACAGTAACAACAAAGATACACAGTAACAATAAAGAAATACAGTAACAACAAAGATACACAGTAACAATAAAGAAATACAGTAACAATAAAGATACACAGTAACAACAAAGAGACACAGTAACAACAAAGA